GAAATTCGACTACCAGTCCTTCATCACCTTACACGTAATAGGGTGAATACATCTCATTATCGTACTTTACCCATACTGCTAAGTCTATGACTTACTATGCCCTAGTCTCTTGTGTGCCAACCCACAAATGTTGTGGTTCTACTTGTTTTGATAAGGTTCAATGTTAAACCACAAAGTTTGTAGGTTGGCACACTAGAGACTAGGGCATAGTAAGTCATAGACTTAGCAGTATGGCTAAAGTACGATAATGAGATGTATTCACCCTATTTCGTGTAAGGTGATGAAGGACTGGTAGTCAAAAGCTTGGTATTAGAAATAGAAACAGGATAGACACGGCGGAGATGGGAGCTAGTGGGCTGACGGTAGTTCTTATAAGAGACGTGGTCTATGTGGAAAAGGCGTGACCATGACACTTACTCAGAGGCTTGAGCCTCGAATTAGTCACCCAGACGCAGGGTAGGGCCAATAACTTTGGCCCAGATGGGGTGGCAGGGGTCGAGTGAAATATGCGAACCAGAGAGAGGCAGGAGAGAGACGGGGAATGGGGTGGCAAGAGTCGAGTGAAATATTGAACCAGGGAGAGGGCAAACGGATCTTACGGGGCAAGAGAGAGACTGTGATAAGACCTAGTGAAGGAGGGCTGCGCAACAATATGGCAGGCTCGGATCCGTATTCCCAGCAAATTGGGGAAGGGGGGTGAGGGTGGTGAGAAAGCCAGCGTGGGGTGTGGAGAGTTCTCATGAAATCAGATCAAAAGAACACACCATAGCACATTTAAATAGGCAAAGAAAAATTGTGAGGGTGAGAAGGGTGATACGAGGATATAGGATTGGTGATTAGCCCAGGGCGGAAGGAGAGATACCACGATTGTTTAGCAGGCTTCACTTCTCTCTATTTGACGAGTTTTAGTGTTGTGCTAAAACTGGCAATGCTTAGTGACGATGCCGACTACGATACCGGCGAAACATCTGGGATTGAACCATGTCCACAGTCCGATTCATGCATACTACGGCCTCCTGACTAGATACGTTCCTTTTGGTCTTCCTACCACTATGAGCAAGTTGCAAAACCAATGTCAAACAACTTCTATACAACGAAAGGATACCGCGACCATACAAAAGGCCATACCATCCTGGTCTTTATACCTTCGTAGGAAAACAAGAGTTGTATCGGGTTCCCGATGCTAAATAGGCCCTTTTTCTCAGCTGCGTATGATGTCTGGATTTTATTTTTTGTCTCCTTAATATTGGTTTGGTTAGCGGCTCTTTGTTATTGGGATGTCTTCTGACTTAGTCAATTTTTTCAAGCCTGAGTATGTCTATGCATACCACCGTACGACGACCTTTTAGTAATAAAGTAAATTGTCTGTCGCCTTTGGAGATGACGCGTATGGGGCCACTGTATAGTTCAGTGAAATTAAGAATTCAGCTACCAGTCCCTCTATCGCCCTAAACGAAATAGGATGTATACACTTGATAATCAGCTTGTGGACAATCTTTTCCAACTCAGCTGTAGAGTAAGAGTAATAATTGCCATTATAGGAAAGCCATTCAACATGAGAACTGATGCATAAGGGTCAAAAGTGATTCTGATTGTAATGATCAGATTTTTACCAAGCTCATAATCTAGGGGTTATTGCTCTCCTTACTAGATTATTGTCATGCATTGCCATCACGTCGAAAGTTAGTATACACAATAACAACATTTGCTAAACAAAAGCAGGGCATTCTTATGCAGTATGGAATGCAGTATCGACTTGACTACTATCAGTAACCCCGACGGGAGTTATGGTCACAGTAGTTACTCTAGAGTAAATAACGTTACGGACATTGACTGAAAATGCGTGACTTTAAATACGTTGTAGATTTTTCTCACTTCATGCCTAATGAAATCTAAAAAAAATGAACATATATTTTTCAATGGCAACTCGTTTTCAACGAACTTTCTCAGGTATAATATTTGTGGC